GTGATGCTAGCAACATTTGTTGATCTACAAAAAGCGTTTGACAAGGTGTGGAAGGAGGGTCTACTAGTCAAGCTCCTTAGAAGTGGTATCCAAGGCAACATGTACCTATGGACCAAATCCTATCTACACAACAGAAGAACCTGTGTGCTGGTGGATGGATATCAAGGACGGAAAATGCTGCTGCGACAAGGAGTACCCGAAGGTGGAGTCATGTCACCTTTGCTCTTTATCCTCTTCATCAATGACCTCATGAAAGAACTGCCGAAAGGAATACATGCCGCATTGTATGCAGACGACCTGGTTCTTTGGTGCTCTGAGGAATTCATCACTACTGCCACACATCGCATGCAACTAGCATTGGACAAACTCACTACATGGACAAAAACCTGCTGTGTAACCGTAAACAAAGAAAAGTCTCCTGCTATTCTCTTCATTCTCAGCCAGGCTGAGCCAAAACACCTCATGTTAGACAAAACCCCCCTAAAGTTCGAGAATCAACAGAAGTATCTTAGAATAATCTTTGACAAGCGTCTCACATGGAAACAACACATTCAGAATGCAGAAACTAAAGCCAGGAAGAAGCTTAACACCATGAGAAAACTAGCAGGGACTCAGTGGGGAGCAAATGAGAAAACACTTAGACAGGTCTGTATAGGCGCCATCAGGCCCCATCTCGAGTACGGATCCAGTGCATGGATGACTGCAGCACAGACTCACAAATATACTCTGGAAAAAGTGCAATATCAGGCTCTCCGAATAATCACTGGAGCAATGAGGTCAACGCCTATAGAAAAGATGGAACAAACAACATCTATAGTGGCCCTGAAGAGGATATGGGAATACAGTACACCAAGGCCACAGCTATGGAGGATCATATACTGCACACAAGAACAGCCAGATCAAATACCACAAGACTAAAAAGATCCAACTTCATCAAAGAAAGCAGAAAAATCCAAAGATCCCTACAGGACCATCTACCACCCACAGTGAACATGCTGAACCATACCCCAGAGGCACCATCATGGGAAAAGACAAACACAAACATAATTATAACTAACGTCCATTCCTATGTTCACCACAAAAGATGACCACAGCGACCTGAGCAAGAAGTCCCTCACCCTGTCCATGCTTGAACAAAGATACCCACGAGAAGCGTGGATAAGGATCTATACAGACGGATCTGCCACTGATGCTGTGAAAAGAGGAAGAGCCGGAGTGTACGTACAATTCCCAAATGGACGACGACAAGCAGAGGCAGTCCCAACAGGGCGACATTGAACAAACTACAGGGCAGAGACGGAGGCTGTAATACATGCAGCAAACATCATCAAGAATGTGGTAGACCCCTAAAGCCAAGTAGTGTTCCTAACAGATGCCATGTCAGTACTGCAGGCAATCACTTCCGGCAAACTACCAAGGCTACGAAAAGAAATTGAGGACATCCCATGTCTGAGGATCATGCTGCAGTGGATTCCATCACACTGTGGTGTCTTAGGAAATGAGCAGGCAGACAGGATGGCCAAACTAGGAACACAGAAAGAGCAACCAGACAACAGCGTTAACTACACAGAAATAAAAACTATTATAAATACATTATTTAAAGCACCGCAGACACCAAATGGCTACCATGAGCTTTCCCGTCAAGAACAAGTGATTATCTTCAGACTAAGGACACAACACACAAGACTGAGACAACATATGTACAAATGTTTTAAACTAGTACAATCACCAAAATGCCAGTGTGGAGAGGCGGACCAAACTGTTGAACACATCCTTCAGCACTGCAAGACACACAGGGCCCTGAGACAGGAAACGTGGCCAACCCCATTGACGCTGCAAGAGAAGCTATATGGGCCGACAGATGAACTGAGCAGGACGGTCCAATTTATGACAGATACCAGACTTCAAGTGTGATGCGATCGAGAAGAAGAAGTCAACTCAGAATTCTAAAAAAGGAGGAACTTTTCGGGTGATCACCACAGAAGCCCATTTTCGTGAAACGCCCATTATTATTATACTGTTGAACCCTAGAATGCTGAAATGAAAACCAACAATTTATCAAAGCAAGGTTATTTCACACCAATTTGAGGGTTTGGGAGATAATTTCAAGTAAGAGTCACGCACCAAATTTACAATCTTGATTACGTACAGAAAGTGGTGGCGCCTGGGGTCTTGTGCGACTTATTAATTTTTTCCCTTCATCATATTCGCCTGTATATATATAAACTATATATATAAAAATGAATCTTGCTTTGAGCCTAGAACCAGAATATCGACTGTCATGATTCATATCATATATATATATAGGCCTTGAAAGACAAAAATTAATGCTCTAACTCAAAGTACAGTAGAATAGCCCAAGTAGACCTATTCAGTGTGAGAGGTGTAAGAACTGTGGGAGGGCAAGATGCAGTGATACTGAAAATCTGCGAATCTTGTACAGAAAGCTAAAATATACTGCCACCACCACCAATCCGATGAAACGCGAACACTTAGGCCGTTTTCACACAAGGCCTGCACCCACGCACACTTTACTTAGCAGAGAGCTGTACATGTAGTAGTTATCAAAATTCTAAACATTAAACATATTTGTTTCCAGTTTCAGTTTTTTTTGTCCACTGGTGTTGCGTCCAGCCCTTCCCCTATCCCAGAGTGCGTCTTTAAAAAAAAAATCAATAATCTCTCCCCCCCCCCTGAGTTCTGTACTTCAGAACGCGCGCAGGTTCATTGACCAGCCACAATGGCGAGCCCGACAAGACGCTTGTATAATATAACTTTCTTTTCTTCATGATGTTGCCCCTATAAGTGACGACACAGTGACAAATATTTATTTACTTTCATGGCGACACCACGTTTGTAATGCTGAACCTGCATGTTACAATAATTGTTGCGTTATCAGACAATTACTGACAAATTTCTGGGTGGTAACGAAAGCGAAAGTAAAGGCTTACTGGACGCTCTGTTATGAAATTTAGTGGGTATCATGCTGGACTATACAGTGGGGTTGACCCTCGTGCGCCCTCTTCGAAAAAGCGCGAACTTTGCGAACAGAGTTAGAATCTACCACAGAATTCTACACTTAGTGAAGAATTCTGTGGGCTGAGTGAACTATCTCTTGAACCTTCCGGTTACCGTGTACGTAGACCCTGAGACTACGCGCCCGGTTACCGTGTACGTAGACACTCTGTTATCAAAAAACCAAGAAAGCTTCCACAATTCAGGCAGAACTACAATATTATTCTAGATCTAGTACTGGCGTATCAAATGGCTCGGGAGCTATTCAGAGAACGCGGCGTTGCAAATAGCACGGGAGCTATTCAGAACGCGGCGTTGCAAATCGAAGTGACTATTCGGACTGGAGTACGAATATGAAAAAATGTTATTCGGACTCTGATTCTTGTCCAACATGACATCACTTCCGACTTCTGACTTCCTGAGACTCGTGACTCCAGCTTCCTGTCCTGCCTCACTCGTGACTCGCCTCAGGCTGGGTAGAGACCGGGATCACTTCGGGCAAAAAGGCGTTTTGTGCAGGAGTCGAGTTTTTATCTTATGATAAATTTTAGGCCGGCCTCAAAAGTTATAGCGCTTCTAATAAATGTTTATTTGTCAAGAGGTCATCAGAAGCAATTAAAGATGGCTCGTTAGCGCGTGTCGGGGTCGGATGGGCCGCCTGCACACTTGTGGCTGTGTTCGTATCGGGGGGGGGGGGCACTATCGGTCCGGGCGTTGAACGTCGCATACGCGTCAGTCTTTTCCCCCCCGGCAACTGATCATTATTACAAAATAAGCTAATCTTGACGTAGATCTATGTTATGAATTGTGCGCTGGTCTATGGAATCAAAAGTTGCCGTATGCTCAGCTCTGTACAGCAACACAAGTTTTTCTTGGTAAACAATCGATATGACACAGGCTTGTGTATTTGAACGAATCGGTCTTTTTTTTTTACACAGCTCATAATATGCAGGTGCCAGGTGGTCTGCTAATCTTCAATTTTACCTTTTTCTACAACAAAGAAAGTGGGAAACATGGGGGGGGGGCGTATCAATGAGGCGGCGGGCATCGGATCGGCAGAAAAGGTGTGGGGGAAACTAAAAAATGGCGGAAAATTGGAAGCACTGAACGTTAGATCTATAGTATAGAACTAGAACGAAGACACTTCCTTTTTTCCGGACCCGAGTCCGAATAACATTCGGTGTTGACAGTCAAATTGACCAAAACAAAGTATAAAAATGATGTTAAAACCCAAAAGTAAATTAATTTGGTCGTCTACAAAGATTCTACTTTAACTTGAATCGAGCTGAACTACGCGGGTCGCCATTTTGTTTTGGCCGGAAGTTCTCGCGCTACTCCTCTCTCTCTCTCCACTGCCCCCAGACAAAATTGTACTCTTTTAGTAGGCTAAGAGTAATGGAACGATTGTTCATGGAACAGAATTCTACAATTTTTCTGTTATCACAGTGTAGAATTCTGTGGTTTTAGGGTGAACGCAAAATTGGTTAGCCTAGAACTAGGCTATAATAACAGTGAACGGGCACCGGGTGAGAATACGATCATCGAAATGATCGATGGCCGATGGCCGTTGCCGTTGCAAATAGCGCTTGCCTAGAAGAAGGCTCCAATTACAGCAAAATTACCGTAAAATGACCTCAGGTATTTCTTTTCTTTCATCTTCACGCACTGGCTGAAACCATAGCCTAATAAAGCCTCTGATTCTGACTGACTGTGTCTCTGATTCGTAGCTGATCACCTTCTCCTTTTCTTCATTCAGATTCAGTAATCAAGTTCAGACTTGATTTCGACAAAAAAACTTGGGCTTGGGCCGACTTGGCCGTCTTGTACACTTTGTGGCGTCTTATAAAACCCAATTACACATAACATATGGCATGGCAAGCTTATTTTTCATAAGAATAAGTCTATACGTCTTTGTAAGATATAACGAATACCAACAGCTAACACGTTTCATAACATGATATTTGGGCGAGTTGCCCGTTACTTACCTAAGAGATTTGTTTACACCGCCATTATAAAACGGAGCGGAAGTAGAAGTGCGCATGTCATTCTACAACATTTACGTTACGCAAAGGAAGATGGCGACTAGCAGAGTGTTGACAAGGTTTTCGCAAGGGCCGAAGGCTCTTTTTCAGTATATCCAGGTAACAGTTAGTTCTTTAGTGTTTGTTGGTTGCTGCAAGTTTTATGCCTTTTAACATTATCACTGCATGTTGTCTGAGGGATTATCTAGTGTAGGGAAGTAAGTGTAAAGTTCCGTTCTTTGTCACCTTCACAGAAGGAATAGAAACCAACCTTGACCTTCTGCTGGCCAGTTACTGAGGCTTGCGAGTGTCCAAAGGCAAAAAGGACAAGAATGGAAATAACATTTTGGTACATAATAATTTACAGTTTCTACTTTTCCCGATGCTTTTCCAGTCTTTAACTCATTTTCTAGGCTCATATTGATTTAGCTTAGTATTTTCCTTTCACCACTACGTCTAGATCTAGAATCTAGATCTAGATCTAGATCTAGATCTAGATCTACAATTTGTTCACCACAAACACTGACTACCATGCCATAGCCATAGCCATAAAGTCTAGATGCCATTTTTATAGGCTATTATATAAAATATGCAAGTGGTTATTCTCTGGCGTCGCGCCAGTCAATAGATTAGAAGCTATTCTTCGGCGTCGCGCCGCCGGTCTCGAGTCCGAATATGAAAAAATGTTATTCGGACTCAGATTCTTGTCCAGCATGACGTCACTTCCGACTTCCTGTGACTCGTGACTCCGGCTTTCTGTCCTGCCTCACTCGTGACTCGTCTCAGGCTGGGTAGAGACCAGGATCACTTCGGGCAAAATGGCATTTTGTGCAGGAGCCGAGTTTTTATCTTACGATGAATTTTAGGCCGGCCTGAAAAGTTATAGCGCTGTTAATAAATGTTTATTTGTCAAGAGGTCACCAGAAGCTATTAAAGATGGCTCGTTAGGGTGTGTCGGAGTCGGAAGGGTGGCGTGCACACGTGTCGCTGTGTGTAGTGTGTGTGTCGGGGAGGGGTGGGGGGCACTATCGGTCCGGGCGTTGAACGTCGCATACACGGTCTTTTATCCCCCGGCAACTGATCATTATAATACAAATATAATAAGCTAGTCTTGACGTAGATCTACGTAATAAATTGTGCGCTGGTCTATGGAATCAAAAGTTGCCGTATGCTCGGCTCTACACAGCAACACAACTTTTTTCTTGGTAAACAATCGAAATGACACAGGCTTGTGTATTTGAACGAATCGGTCTTTTTTTTTTTACACAGCTCATAATGATAATGTGTAGGTGCCAGGTGGTCTGCTTATAAATCTTCAATTTTACCTTTTTCTGCAACAAAGAAAGTGGGAAACATGGGGGGTGGGGGGCGTATCAATGAGGCGGTGGGCATTTGATCGGCAGATAAGGTGTGGGAGAAACTAAAAAATGGCGGAAAATTGGAAGCACTACGTTAGATCTATGGAACGAAGACACTTCCTTTCTTCTGGACCCGAGTCCGAATAACATTTTTTCATATTCGGACTCGAGTCCGAATAATAATTTTTTTTGTTCAGACTCGAGTCCGAATAGAGGAAGAAATGTTATTTTTGGACTCGAGTCCGAATAACGACGGTAAACTAATAATTTGTCGGCGCAGATTTGCAAATACCTCTCTCATCTGTTTGTCTTGGAATAAAATTTCCACAACTTTACCACTTCTTCGTGCCACTTCCATTGATACTGATGATAGGTTTTCAGACACAAACTGCCCCAATTCCTCCAATTTAGAATTGTGTTGGGTGCTAGAAGAAATGTGTTCACAACTATTGACGAGAGTGTAGCAATGACAATGAAAAATTAAATTTTCGTCCGAATTGCTTAAACATGGGCTTAAATGAAAATAAAGTAAATTCTTAGATGAACTATGGTTTTTAAATTTTAAAAATCCATTGATAAATAAAAAAGTTATTGGGATTTTTGTTTGCAAAATGTTGAAGGACCTTCATACTGGAAAATGTTGCCAAAATGTGGGACATGTCTTCTTGATGTATTTTGAGGAAAAACTGTTCATAACAAGTCAGTAATGAATTGGAGCCTATGAATGAAACTTGGCATCTGCATGTGATTTTTAGTGCAGAATCTAGATCTAGTAACCTGCTATCACTTTTTCGATGTCTTTATTACTTTGGATCTTAAAGACTGATATTTGCGTGAAATTTGTTGAATTGCGTGACTTTGTTTTTACCGCGACGCGATCACCCCTTCTTAAACTCAGTAAAGCGCTTTCGGGAAAACCCGCGATGAAGTCATCGGTGACTTATTTAGTTTTAGGCAGCCAATCACATGCCGCCTTGCGATCACGCGCCTCTTGCATGCCGGCACCTAGCGTTTGGAATGCGTGATCTAGTTTCCAGCTCTAGTGTTTTATCAATGGATGGGTGGTAATTTTAAGTTGGTACGTAAAATGTACTACGCAGAGATCTGAAATTTTACAGCAATAAAGAAGACATGTGGGGCGCCTGTGTGGTCGGCGATCAACCCGCAGCTCCGCTTAGTTTTCGAACCGCAGAGGAAATTAGCACAAACACGGCAATATCTCCGGTTCTAGAAATCGTTCGGGATTGTACGCTGGCGTGTCGTTAATTTAACCTTTCCTCTGATTGGTTGCCGAGTTTAATTTATTTTCGTCTTCCCGTAACTATACTTAGAAGAGAGTCACTTCTGATTCCGAGCGGCCCAAAAACTACCCCTCGCGCGGAGGCCGATTTCCGGCCCCAGGCGCAGCGGGCGATTGGCATTGCTAAAGAGTGAGCATAAGAAGGAGTCACATTTTCACTGTTTACAAAAATGGAGATACGACAAGAAAGCACTGAAGTCGCGACATATCAGTTAGATTGATCGAAAATTACAACAACAAGAAATTTATTAAACAGCATAGATACTATATGACTAGACAGGATTTTAGACACAAAATCAATTTTGTTCGTTTAAATTTAAACAGAATCATTATTTTAAAATAAGCAAATGGACGATGGAAATAAATGAATAAAGTTATGGTAGACAATTACCGTAGATTAAATATAATGAAAGGTAGACTTACTAGGCCTAGTTATGACGCCGGAGAATAGCTTCCGATCTGTTGACCGGCGCGACGCCGGAGAATAGCCACTTGCATAAAATATGAGGGAGGAGTTCCGCAGAGGGCCGGCACTTACCATGTCAAAGTCAACTGAGCAAACTATTCAAGAGTTTGTGCACTTAAAGAATCCAATTGATGACTTACATCAACATTTTGGTAAATTTTAGGACTTGGCGAGCTAATTTTTTCGAGGCACATTTGACAGCTCCAGTTGAGGACAAATTCGAGTTGTGTGGAATCCGCCATTACTTACCTTCTTCTGTCGACTATTGAGAATGTCAGACTTCCATTTTGGAAGGAGAGAGGGTGTGTGTGTGTGCAAAAACAACGAAACGCCAACAAAAGGAGAGTGGGGGGGGGGGGGGGGGGGCACGTCCACTCCCGCCAATGTCACAAAAATAATCCGTTTTGCAAAATACTGAACCAAACTTTTTTCTGTAAAGTGGTCATTTTGTTGTAAACATGATCACGTGCTAACAAGTAGTTCCACATCAGAAACATCAAACAAAGGCTTTCACTGTAGTTTTCTAATTAAAACTCAAATTTTTATAAAGCTCTTTTTTATTCGCTTTTGCAAACTCGCTGTGGTTATTTTGAGTTGAAAGAGTTGGATACTTGCAACAAAGGACCCAAAAAATTATTTGAAAAACGAAGTTTAAAAGAAGTAGATCTTTTAGTGAATGCGAAAAATAAGATAGACTATGATCTATGGCAGCGACAAGAAAGTGAGAGCCGTGAGACACTTGTTAACATCGCATATCCGTTGTTCATCCACTCACACGTGAGTGAGAGGCAGCCCCGGTGTTCAGATATCAATCTACGATAAAAGCCAGGGGTTGGAAAACGGCAGGTTTAAAAAATTTCATGTTTTAGGATAGTTTATGTATGCCAACTGCAATTTTATATATTTTGACCCTTGATACTTACATAGATGCTAGACGGTTGTATATATATATGTGCGTGTAAAGATTGTGAGAGGGCTCTCGTGGTTTATAGGTTACAGTTTTTTGATCCCATTCAATAGGTCCCAGGTTCAACATTTGACTGCGACGGAATATAATAAAGTCGAACCTGCCTAAAAGGAAACCTGTATAAAACGGAAACCTGTCTTAACGGAATCTCCCCACCCCCCCCTTGATATATCCCTCTTTAATTACCTGTATAAAACGGAAACCTGTCCTATGCGGAAACGGAAAGAAAAATCCGCTCCCTTCCAAGGGTTTCACCTGTGTAAGACGGAAAATGCTTTGCCCCCTCAGCCCTGATTTGAAACAAAACTCGCAAGTTTGGTTCCGTCGGCTCTAAACTTAACGCAATGGCCATGCTGCTGGGCGAGGAAGGGGAGTAGGGGTGCAATTTGGGGGTAGATGTGACCCAAGGAGTTTACAGTCTGTTCTAAGCTCCTTGATGTGAGCCCTGAGCGATGCAGATGGTCAGTGTAGTGTGGGTGTGAAATCTCACAACTTCCCGCGAGAGTGCTCGAGTAGTGAGCCACTATGGAAAGTTTCCTGGGTAGCCAGAAGCCAGAGATGTGAAATTACATGACCAATGCCTGCCGCCCTGATCGTAAGGCCAGCCGAGAAAAGAGTTCCTCTTATTGTTGTTACAATGCTGGCTGTGAGGGATGGCATTGGTGGGTGGGGCTAAGGGTGGAAGCAAAGGAGATGTTCAAACGTTTCTGTTTTTAATAGGTCAAAGAGTTGTCCTATGAAAGGCAAGCACTGGTGGCAATTGGATTAGTAAAACTGACGCATGTCATTATCAGACAGGATAGCAGTTGAGAGGTGTGATGTTTTGACCACTGCTTGCCGATCGGACAAGCGATCCTTGATCCCACCGGCTGGGCCTTTGAATCCCCCCCCCCCCCCCCCCCCCCCTAAAAAAAGAAAAAGAAAATATATAGGCATGTTTATTTATTGCGTAACTAAGTTAACATTATTGTAAAAAATGTTACCATTTTTTAAACTTACAGTGTTCTCTCTCTTCTCTCTTTCCAGGTTCGCTCTGCACAGAGTGCTGCTGCTCCTGCTGCTCAGGCTGCTGACTTAAAGAAATTTGAAATCTACAGATGGGTAAGACATTATGCCATTATTATAGGTTTTAGATGGTTGTCTCATATGTTGCAATATTTGTATTCAAGCTATTTGTGCTTTGAAAGTTGAGTGTATTTTTCATTGCTGGATTGTGTGCTTTTGTCAGTTATGGGAGTTTCGGAAGCGAACTAGTGATTGGGAGTTAACACTGCTCATGGCAAACTAGTATTAATTTGATGTGTGAGAACTTGGATGATATTGTTGTAGATTTGTGTGTTGTGTGAGTGTTGTATGTGTGTGTGCTGACGCACACACGTGCACAATATGTGTGTGTTTGTGTCTGTGTGTTTGTGTGTGTGTGTGTCTGTGTGTGTGTGTTGTTTGATGCGTGTGTTGGTGTGTGGAGGGGAAGCCTGTTGTGGCCTGTTGGAAATGTTTGTGTACCTGTTTCCTTAGGATCCCGACAAGCCTGGTGACAAGCCTAGAGTTCAGACATACCAAGTCGACCTCAATGAGTGAGTGACATTGTCTATTGTCCTTGTCTTTGTTTATTATTTTGATCTTTTCTTCTTTACTTTTACTTTGGAAAACCTCAGTGATGGAGTGACATAGTCCTTGTCTTTGATTATATTATTTTGGTTTCTTCTGTCACCTCAACTTTAGATGCTTTGGTATGGTTATCTCATTTTGACCTCATAGGCTCCTTCTTACGGCTGTCTTTCCTCCACTCTCCTTCACAGAGAAGCTGTTTTCATTTCTGGTTATTTTGTTGTTTGAAAGTCATGCTTGGTGACATTTTGTTTTAATAAGGGGAAAAAATCAGCCCATGACTTTAGGATTTGATGAGGATGGTACAGGGAGGGAAACTTGAATAATAATAGTTGAAATAGTAAAGCTGTTTCTTCGTTAAATCTTTTGTTATTTAAAAATTGATCAGACTAGGTTTGAAGTGTGAGTGGACATAATGTTTGGATTAGTACTAGAGAGACTGGGGAAGGTAAGAGATTAATCTGTGGGGGTAAATTTGATTGTTTTCTTTAAGCATCAGAATCAGTGATAGAATAAAAAGTTACTCCTTTTGTGGAGGGAGATTTTTTAAATCAGTTGTCTTTCTTTAAATGGTTGGGTTTTGTCATTTTAGAAAATTGAACTATTGAATATATTTTATTTTTCAATTCTTCTTTATTTTATTATTTTTTCCCCTTGCAGCTGTGGTCCCATGGTCCTGGATGGTCTCATCAAAATAAAAAATGAAATGGATGCGACTTTGACCTTCCGTAGGTCATGCCGTGAGGGTATATGTGGCTCGTGTGCCATGAACATTGATGGCACCAACACTCTAGCATGCCTCTAGTAAGTGACAAATTCCTACTCTTGTTTACTGACTGTTGTGATCTCACTGCCTTTCCCTGGAATTTTGTTTGAACATGTCTGAAGTGCTTACAATCAATTTTGTGTGGTTTGTGAGTGTAGTGGCGTACTTTGCTCCTTTTTTATCAAACATCTGTGATCTTTATCTATCCTTCTTTTTTGTGTTGTACCATCTCTAATCTTCGGCTCTTATTTTATATATGACTTTATTGTGTTGCAAGTGCTGTGAAAAACTCCATTAAGACTAAAAGAGCAATCAACTGAAAGTATTCGAATCTTGTGTCCAACATACCTTCTACAGACCAGGACATGTTTTCCATTGTACCCAGCCAACACAAAGCAGAACTGGTCTGTTTTGGCTTTTATTTCTGCCTTAAGCAGAACTAGTCTGTGCTGACTTTATTATACTTTATATAGCTGACCTGTTCCTGGAAGCCCAGATGAGAGCCTATATCAAATCCTGCACCCCTTGCAAAATCAATATTAAAACACAAAAGGGCTTCTAGTTCGCATTGCAAGTTGCGGGAAATGCAACAGCAAGTATCATTTACTTTTTGGTAATAAAAGTTTTGTTTCGATTTTTGCTTACTGGAAGTAGTTTTTGTGTAGTAGATGATTTTGCAAGCTCACTTCATCTGAGCCGCAATGCTTTCCTTTAGTCACAGTTGTCTAGATTTTGGCAATCATTATAATATTGAGGCAGACATGATTTTAGATTTACAACGGAAATGTGATTTCCAGGGCTGCCCAAATCCACCAATTTTTCCAGTAGTTACTGATTTTGGACCTTTTCTACCGCCATACCGATAAAGGTGTAAAAACTACCGGATTTGATATGGATGCCGAGAATAGAAGAAAAAAATGAAATGACCCATTCAGCAGTGCTTGCAGTCTTTCTTTTTTGTACGGAAATCCGTACATCCTGAAACTTACTGCATTATCGTATCAAGAATCAACTCCATCCATTTTTTAAAGACAAAGAGAGAGGCATTCAGATAGTATTTGCTTTTTGGTATTCCGTAGTAAAGGATCTGTCATTTGCTCCTGTGACTTCTCGGATATTAACCGTAACTTGCAGCATTCCATTATCCTTCTATGCATCGATTGTGGATCAGTCTGCAATACATTTTCACGCGCAAATTAGCTCAAATCTGACCAGTCACGATAGTGAATCTTCCTCCTTTCTTTCATTTGCTCACTCTTTCTGTCTTTGGGTTTTTGCTTGAAAGTTTGTGTGTTGGTTAAGAAAACTGAATTGTGAGTGAAGAAAGAAGATATATATATATCAAATTTTTTTTTCTTCAAATCTGCCTACATATGTAGAAATTGTCAGTATGGGGATTCTACGGCAGATGGATGAGGTCGCAGTGCAAGAAATTGATACTAAAATATGGAATAAGTGGAAGTGGTGCTCTGAAATTGTGACATTCGACAATTGAAAGTGTAATAGGGCAATAATTAGACTAGAGTAGAGGCTTGGTGACTGCATCGTAGAGATTGGTGTTCCCGAATTTGCGTATTGTCAATGTTGCGATGACAAATCGAATAGTGGCAGTTGAAAAATACCATTTTCATGACTAGAAAAGCTTTAAATTATTTCAATTTCTTTTCTTAGCTGTCACTTTTTGCTTACACCCATGAACTCAGCTATTGAGTTTTAGTTTTCCTTTGATACGTTTTGTCATGCAGGCTTTTTACAATCTCTGAATGCTGAAACCCAAAGATCGTTTTGATAGTTGATGTTTTGGCTTTTCTGCAGGCCCAGATCAGGATTTATCTTTATAGTTAAAGGAAAACTAGTTAAAATTGACTGTCACACAGGACTTATCGGCGCTCTTTTGCTGTGCCATTGTCAGGAAATATGTTTCAATATAGTCTCTTGGTATGTTCTGTGGCTTCTTAAGTCAGTTGGCATTCATCCTGCGTTCATATCCCTGTTCAATACCGATTGATAAAGGTGCCTTGAAGGACAGTCCATAAATGTTTAATGAAATAAAAACCATACCATTTCTTCGACATTGCTCACCTTCAATTATGAACACCCAACCCCCCCTCCCCCACGTACCGATACACACATGTCCACACAAGCAGTACAGTGATGGCAAGTTTTCACCGCTTGGTTGATCAGCTGTTTCTGCTCGGGTTTTTATTCCGTAAATTATGATCTGAAATAGCGGGATCTTAACTGAATATAATTCTTCAGAGTGGGATCTTACGAGTGAGTTTGGTGAAGTAAAAATTCTGTTTTCTTAAAACAGCGAGATCTTAAGGGAACCAGGATAATAGGCGATTGGATCTTAGATGAAGAATACTGTAGTACAAAGGGTAGCAGAAGAAAAACTGACATCTGTTAGATCTGTTTACTGCTTGTTCAGAGTCTGGAACGTGTCTTTTCATGTCTTCTTATTTTAAACTTATCTACCGTTGTTTTTGTTTCAGCAAAATTAATGACAATGCCAACAAGCCAGTTAAGATCTACCCTTTACCTCACATGTATGTGGTCAAGGATTTGGTTCCTGTGAGTTTTGAAAATTTTTCTTTCTTCTCTCACTGTAGACTGTACTGTTTGTACTGTCATTACCACTGTTATAAGTTGTGTTTGGTTGGAAGGCACCATTGGTTAGTCTTAATTCCTTGTTAGAGAGTGAGTGGCTTAAATAGAGAGAAAGACGGTTTATGTATCTAAATATGTGTGATGTGTTTGTGGGTGCTTATATGAATGATCATTAATATAAGGAAATCATATTATAAGTTAGAGGTACTGTAAAACTGTATTGTATGGGAGGGGCTGCCATAGAAATGGTCCGTATTATTATGGTTTTTGTTACTATTACATTAATTTATCATTATTGTTATTACTATTATTACTATTATTTTTGTTGTTTCTGTTTGAAAAGTTTTTTTTACCTGCTTGATGATGGTCAATGGTCATGCAACAGAGAAGTTCTTCTCTTGAACTCAAGATTGTAAAAAACAACTTGCTACATTGTCACTTGAAAAACTGTTCATCTATCAAGCGCATTTGTTTTTCAGGATATGAGCAACTTCTATGCCCAGTACCGCTCCATTGAGCCTTACCTAAAGAAGAAGGACGTGAAAGATGGAGACATTGGCAAGGAATCTTACCTGCAATCTGTGGAGGACAGAGCAAAGCTGGTATGATCATTTGATGTCCCCAAAAACGCTCCCTGGCCTTTTTTTTGTTTTGATTTTTGTTCGAAATAGGAATGTCGCTCAAAGAAAATGTTATTAACATAATACTTAATCTTTTCTCACACCTGTGGCGGGAAGCGGGACCAAGGGCTTAATTCCTGTCGTTGTCTCCCCTTGCTGGACCAATACTAAAATGTGAAAGCGCTTCAAGTTCACTGCATATATATCATTTACTTTCTGCTAATCGAAATTTCGTATCGGATCTTGTTTATGGGTAGTACATACCTGCCAACCCTGCAGTTTGGTCAAACTGACAATCCACCGATTTTGAGAGATTGCCAGCGACAACTAGCGCCCCAGTCTTCTTTATTGCTGTAAAATTTCAGATCCTTTTGTGGAGTAGGCCTACACTTTACGTACCAATTTAAAATGACCACCCATCCATTGATAAAACATTAGAGCTGGAAACCAAATCACGGACCCAACACGAGAGTTACTGGCATCGCCGACATGCAAGAGGCGCGTGATCGCTAGGCGGCATGTGATTGACTGCCTAAAACCTGAGAGTATAGAGTTTTACAGTAATACAATGTTAAAACTGCTAAAACTAAACAGGTTACCAATGACGTCATTGCGGGTTTTCCCGATACTGCTTTGCTAAGGTGTAGAGGGGTAATCGGCCACAGTTCAAGAGATGTCGCGCAATTCAACATACAGTCAAACCTGTGTAAGACGGCCACCCATTGTCAAGGAGAAAAGTGGCCGTATAAGACAGGTGGCCGTCTTGGGCAGACTGATCAAGATGAAGAAAACAAACCTTTCCCATCTGTGGTCCCAATCGAAAGTAGCCGCATTGTTGTTGTTGATGTTGTGGATGTTGGTGGTGGTGGTGGTGGTTTGTATTTTGTTTGTAATTTTTATTTTGTTGCTGATTTTGCACAAGGGTGACAATAAAATGAAATGTATCAGACGAGGAAAACCGAGTGCCATGTTAAAACAAACACATGGGTCGCCACCACTCGAAGAACGAACGACAAGTTCATGTTGACGTCCTTTGTTACAGACTGGGTAAACAGTGACCACTCATCTCACTTACGATTTGTGTATGAGTTCTGGGCGGGGTTTATGGGTTATGAGGGATCACACGCCTACCTCACCAGCAGCTGAAAATTGGTAGCTATTGGTCAACAGTGGGAGAGGCCTACGCAACATGACCGGTTGGAGGGACTACCTAACAACAACGACAGGTGATTGAATTATGACAGCTCTCCCACAAAGCCAGGGGCCAATGCACAATTTTTGACAAAACATAATGGAGTCACTAAGATGGCCGTCTAAGACAGGTGTTATTGCTTAGTATGATAAGGGTTGTGTGTTAAAATATGGTGGCCGCGGCCGCGTTGGACAGGTGCCCGTTTTACACAGTTAAATTATATAGAAAAAACGCAAGGGGGAAATGGAAAGTGGCTGTTTGTACAGGTGGCCGTCTTATAGAGGTGGCCGTCAGGGCAGGTTTGACTGTATTTTCATGCAAATTTAATATTAGTCTTAAAGATCCAAAGATAGACTTCGAAAAAGTGCTAGCAGAATTAGATTCTGCACTAAAAATCACTCGTAGATGCCAAGTTTCATTCATATACCTCAACTCATTACTGACTTATGAATAGTTTTTCCTCAAAGTAGGCCTACATCAAGAAACATCCCACTTTTCCTATATAAATATAAAGGCCGTCTTTATTCGGACTCGAGTCCGAATAGCATTTTTTCATATTCGGACTCGAGTCCGAATAAAAAAAAATCATATTCGGACTCGAGTCCGAATATGAAAAAATGTTATTCGGACTCGGGTCCGGAATAAAAGGAAGTGTCTTCGTTCTATAGATCTAACGTTCAGTGCTTCCAATTTTCCGCCATTTTTTAGTTTCCCCCACACCTTATCTGCCGATCCGATGCCCACCGCCTCATTGATACGCCCCCCCCCCCCCCCATGTTTCCCATTTTTTTGTTGTAGAAAAAGGTAAAATTGAAGATTAGCAGACCACCTGGCACCTGCATATTATGAGCTGTGTAAAAAAAAAGACCTATTTGTTCAAATACACAAGCCTGTGTCATCTCGATTGTTTACCAAGAAAAAGTTGTGTTGCTGTGTAGAGCCGAGCATACGGCAACTTTTGATTCCATAGACCAGCGCACAATTCATTATGTAGATCTACGACTAGATTAGCTTATTATTGTAATAATGATCAGTTGCCGGAGGAAAAAAGACTGACGCGTATGCGACGTTCAACGCCCAGACCGTTTGTGCCCCTCCCCGACACACACACACAGCCACACGTGTGCAGGCCACCCATCCGACCCCGACACACGCTAATGAGCCATCTTTAATTACTTCTGATGACCTCTTGACAAATAAACATTTATTAGAAGCGCTATAACTTTTCAGGCCGGCCTCAAATTCATCATAAGATAAAAACTCGGCTCCTGCACAAAACGTCATTTGCCCGAAGTGATTTCGGTCTCTACCCAGCCTGAGGCGAGTCACGAGTGAGGCAGAACAGGAAGCGAGAGTCACGAGTCACAGGAAGTCGGAAGTGATGTCATGCTGGACAAGAATCAGAGTCCGAATAACATTTTTTCATATTCGGACTGTCCGAATAGTCACTTCGTTCAAAGTCCCCCAAAATTTTGAAACAAAAAATCCCAATAACTTTTAAATTTATGAATGGATTTTTAAAATTTGAAAACCACAGTTCTTAGAATTTACCCATCTTTCATTTAAGCTGGATAAAAATTTAATTTTTCATTGTAATTGCTAATTTTTTTTTTTTCTCTTTGTCTTTTTCTACATTTGTTTGAAGTCGCAAACACACTCATGTATGTGTGGGTCAAAATATTAATAAGGGTCCCTAATTAAGTATGCGGCAAGTGGTAATATAGCATACTACAGATTTTTTAGGTCAACTACAGATTTTGGCCTTGGCAATGTTGGCAGGTATGGTAGTAGTTTTTGTGTAGCAGATGAGTTTGGAAGCTCACCTCAACTAATCCATAATGTTTTCATTCCGTCACCTCTGTCAAGAAGCTAGTGTTCATTATAATGTTGAGACAAAAACGCTCTGTGTTGAGATTTTTTATTATAATGGGGGAAATGTCAAAGGCTATTACATAATTAGCTGTGCAGTCTCGGCATTGAGAAGAATAGGACTGACGTGGTGCTAGCGTGTCGTACGAGGCGACTAAATGGCGAACCAGGTAGTGACTCCTGAAACAGAGTCATCCTGCCTCCAGGTTGGGGGTTGAGTCACAAGGCTAACAACCTCTCTCGTAAAAAGAACCTGTTACAGAAACACATACAAGCAAAAACCATTATCACTGCTTGGTTGATCGTGGATCTTCTCCAAATGGAGAGTTTATGATGTAAGGCAGTGAAAGCCGAAAGGAAGCTGCTGGGCAGAAGCCTCCACCATCATCCAAGTCCAAGTCTCTTCGGATCGGCTCGTGGAACGTTACGATCCTTTATGAGGCTGGAAAAACTGCACAAGTTCTCCAAGAAATGTGCCGATACCAACTACATATACTGGGAATCAGCGAGACCCACTTGAACCAGTCTAGACAGAAGCGAATGAAAGAGGGGGAGCTCTTCGTTTATTCAGGAAATGACAGTGATGGACCACACAGGGAAGGAGTAGGGATGATCACATCAAAAACAGCTCAAAAGACATTCAGGGGCTGGGAAGCACATGGTCCAAGGATCATCATGGCCTCATTTGGAACTAAGAAAGAACTCAAGGTAAGAGATGGTAGGAAGAAGGTCATTAACATGAACATCATACAAGTGTATGCTCCAACCAATGATGCAGAAGTGGAGAATAAAGATGACTTCTACAACCGCCTGCAGAATGTCATCGACAAACTTCCAGGTAAGGACATCAACATTGTCATGGGAGATATAAGTGCAAAGGTAGGTTAGGACAATAGTCACAATGAGGAAATCATGGGCAGACACGGATTAGGAGAGGCAAATGACAATGGAGAAAGGTTCCAAAACTTCTTTACATTCAACAACTTGGTCATTGGAGGTACAATCTTCCCACACAAAAGGATTCACAAGGCCACTTGGGTCTCCCCGGACGGAACAACGGAAAACCAGATTGACCACTTTTGCATCTCCCGAAAGTTTAGACGCTCACTGGAGGACGTCCGAGTCTTACGAGGAGCATACGTCGCATCAGACCATCATTTGATCCTTGGAAAGATGAAACTAAAACTGAGAAGATATGCACAGGTCGCCGCTGGAAATCGTCTAAAGTATGAAGGGAGCCTTCTGAAAGACCCAGTAAAGAAGAATGAGTTCAAGTTGGAACGAAAGAACAGATTTCAAGCCTTTCAAGATCTGGATGAATGTGAAGTCAACAAACACTGGGTTAAGTTAAGAGAGGCAATAAATGCAACTTGCCAGAGCACCCTAGGACCCAAAGACAACACCAGGAATGAATGGATTTCACAGGACTCTCTAGACAAAGTCAAAAGAAGAAGAGAGCTGAAGGCCCAAGTCAACAACAGCCGTACCCGAACTGATAAACTCGCTGCACAACAAGAGTACACTGAAGTAAACCGGGAGGTAAAGAATTCCATCAAGAAGGACAAGAATACCTACCTGAATGGCCTGGCCGAAAAGGCAGAGAAAGCAGCAACAGACGGGCACTTGAGGATTGTACACCAGACTACAAGAACTCTTTCAGGTAGGTTCTGCAAGCCCACTCTACCAGTGAAAGACAAAGAAGGAAAGACTATCTTCAACCCAGAGGGGCAACTTAACCGATGGAGAGAACACTTTGATCAACTACTGAACAGACCACCTCCAGAAAACCAACCAGAAATTCTTCCAGCCAGAATTGACCTCCCAATAGACACGGAACCACCTTCAAGAGAGGAAATTGCAGCCGCTATAAAAACACTGAAGTCCCACAAGGCAGCTGGTCCCGACCATATACCACCGGAAGCCCTTAAGGCAGAGAAAGATACGTTTGTGGAAATTCTATATGCTCTGTTTGAAAAAGTTAGGCAAAAGGAGGAAATACCATCAGACTGGAAGGAAGGCCACCTAATCAAGCTGCCAAAGAAAGGAGACCTCAGCAACTGTAACAACTACAGAGGCATTACACTCCTTTCCATACCTGGGAAAGTCTTCAACAGGATACTCCTGGAGAGAAACAAGCTGGCAACAGATGAGAAGCTTTGAGGAAACCAGGCAGGATTCCGCAAAAGCCGATCATGTGTGGACCAGATCGCTACTCTACGTATAATTGTTGAGCAATCGCTTGAATGGAATTCACCACTCGTGGTCAACTTCATTGACTATGAAAAGGCGTTTGACAGCGTGGACAGGGAAACTCTGTGGAAACTCATGCCGCATTTTGGAATACCTGAGAAAATCGTCAAGCTGGTGAAGGCCACCTATGATGGAACAAGCTGCCAAATCTTCCACGAAGGACAACTCTCAGAACCATTCCGGGTACAGACAGGAGTGCGACAAGGATGCTTGCTCTCACCTTTTCTCTTCATACTGGCAATTGACTGGGTCATGAAAGAAGCCACCAGAGGCAAACATAATGGAATACAATGGATCCCTTGACAGCAACTGGACGACTTGGACTTCGCCGATGATCTTGCACTGCTCTCTCACACACATGCTCAGATGCAAGAAAAGACCAAGGAACTCAACAGCCTATCAAGGAGTGTTGGCCTACGTATACATCCAGGCAAGTCAAAAGTAGTGAAGCTAGGAAAAGTTTCAAACCTTGCTGTGACAGTGGAAGACACTCCCCTGGAAGAAGTGGACTCCTTTACCTACCTTGGAAGTGTCATCGATGGTAAAGGTGGAACCGAGGCAGATGTTAAAGCAAGAACCGCCAAGGCAAGGTCAGCCTTCAAGCAATTATCAAAAGTCTGGAAAGCAAGCAACATCTCACTGCGCACCAAGATTCGACTTTTTAACTCCAACGTCAAGTCTGTGCTCCTCTACGGCTGCGAAACTTGGAAGACAACGAAGACAGTACTGAATAAGGTCCAGACTTTCATCAACAGAGGAATGAGGAGTATTCTAAGAATTAAGTGGCAGGATAGAATAAGAAATGAAGAGCTGTGGGAAAGGACAGGACAAAAGGATATAGAAGTAGAAATAAGACTAGGAAAGTGGCGATGGATGAGACACACCTTAAGAAAGCCCAGCGGAAACATCACAAGACAGTCACTGCAGTGGAACCCACAGGGAGCACGAGGCAGGGGTAGGCCACGGGAAAGATGGAGGAGATGCGTGGAAAGGGACATGAGAGAAATGAAGCTCACTTGGAACAAGCTTGGAAGGATGGCTCAGGACAGAGATGAATGGAAGGAGCTTGTATGTGGCCTATACCCTGCGAGGGGTGAAAGGCATTGATGATGATGATTACATAATTGTGATAGAGGTTTAGAGTTCATAGTTGGAAGTGAATCAGCTGAGAATAAAAATTTTGAAAATGAAACTCGGAGATTATATCTGAGTACTGGCAATCACTGAGGGGGACTGAAAGGTTGTGCTAGATCTAGGTCTAGTTCTAATGTTAGATCTTTGGTGTTAGATTTTTGATATAAACAGATAAAGAAAAATACCTTTTTTTTTATCCTGATCATATAGTATAGGCCTACATAAAGGAACTGAGTAGCTTGAGGTGGCCATTTATCAATAGGAGATATTAATCATAGCTATGAAGTTTGTGACATTTGTTAATTAAACCCTGTTTAAAAAAAACAGCAACCAAGGTTACTAGTTTGGAAAACTTTTAGGATATGTGCTTGGATGATTTTATTGTCAATTACACTTATATCAAGCAATTTTGTTTGTACTCACTACACTTCTGTTTGGACAATTACCCATAAACAGATATCTGTTTGTGCTACCATTTTCCCAATTTTTAAAAGGTCATCAAACAAAAACTGCGACAGTTTATAAAAAATTATGTTTGAAGCATTGAAGTGTGCTATTTCTAGTGTTTCTGTAGTGTAAATTTATGGTGTATATATGATGTTTAGTGGTTGAATTCTTTTGAACTTTTAAAATACAGGGTGATCCAAAAAATAACTACAACTTTTTTTGTTAATATTTTCCTCCGCACTGAAGTTTTGTGCTTCAAATTTGTGCACATTTGGATGTCAAAAGGAATTTGTCTGATATTCATTTTGGATAAATCTACAGAATAGTTTTGGTTTACACAGTGCTTAAAAAAACCACCCATTTTCAGCTATGTCCCCATTTTTGTAGAATGGCCCACTAGTTCGCATTAGGCCTACCACTAAAAATCCCCACAATTGAGTTACATTGCATACTGTACAGTGGTCTAACATGCCAACAGAAGTTTGCAGATAGTTTTTCTCAAGTTTTCTTTGACTGCTGTGATAGTTAAGATTAGCAAAGAAAAGAGAGCTTTTTGTATCGAGCATTTCCTCACCACCAACTCACTTTATAAGTTTTGCACAAGGTACAGAAATATTGTTAAATGGCTGATGTTAGTACCTGTACAGGATCAGAACTAAAATTCCCAGACAAAACGACCATTTCAGGTCAAACACACATCAGGCCAAAGGGTTAGAATTCGAGTGGCCGCTGGATTGGAAAAGTAAAGTAAAGTAGGTCAAACACTCCCCGTTCGGCCCCTTTTAAACGTTGCCTGGGTGCAGAATTCAGTAGATAAGTACCATGAGACGTCTGTCCATAGACGATGTCTGCAGCAATGAAATTCCTTCATTTCAACTGTCCGCATGTCAGCAGTGTGTTCATAATGTGGACATTTCCTCTATGACAATTTGGTTCCTTGGCAAAGCCCATATTCACCTTTCAGGTTATGTCAACTCCACCAATGCTGTGTATTTGGGCAACCTCACCCCCCCCCTCTTTTCTCTAGAAACAGCTCCATACCATAGTGTATGTAGCTTTGAGTACTCATGGTTGAGTGGATCCTTTTTTGGGGGCCACCTTTGAACATTATGAACGGCTGTATCGAGTCTAAAGGAGGACTTAAATATAGACCATTGATTCTCGGAATTCGAGAATGAAAAAAAAAAAAAAAAAACCTCTGTAGGAGAAAAGAAATAGGTTACAGGGATGGAAAATTAGATTTAAAACATAAAAGGAAAGGAAAAAATCAAACCAACCATTTGATGACTTCCCTTACAAGATCTTTTAAATTGGCGCATTTTGCTCTTATAGGTGGTTTTTATAAATCCCAGACTCAAATGGGTTAGTAAAAGTGCAATATGGCTTATATTGATAGTGCAGTACCATATATGGTACCTTTTCTTTGTGCCTGGCCAGGAAGGTGCATGTTTGATTCTTGAAGGTGAAACTGTCTGACTTGTTCCAAATTTGCCAATTGTAATAATTGTTTTGCTCCTCCATTATCACAAGTAAAATCACGTAGGAGATGGGCCGCTCTGACATCAACCAGAGTTTCGTTGGGTACTTTATGATAACAGGTCTTATATTACATGGTAATTGAACTTAAAATCCTTTGCCTGTTATGTGGACCTCTTAACCCTTACAGAATATGATGTTTTATTCCTTGTTTCAAGAAAAGGTATATGTAATGAAAATCTTTTCAGTTTTTGTCTCCGTTTTATGACTCAAGACAACAGTGCCTTAAAAACTTATATTTTTCTCTCGTATGAGTCATTTTTTAAAGTCTGTAGGTTAGTTGTAGATTAGTTTGTCTGGAATATTGATGCATCACCCATATGTACCCTTGGTAAAGCTTCATAAATAAGATCATCCTTAATTGCTTCTGTAACATAATGTGTGTGATTCTGTCTCCCAGGACGGCCTGTACGAGTGCATCCTGTGTGCCTGCTGCAGCACCTCCTGCCCCAGCTACTGGTGGAACTCTGACAAGTACCTGGGACCTGCCGTACTTATGCAAGCCTACAGGTGAGGAGAGTCTTTTATGGAAAGATAGTGGTTTCGCAATGTTACACCACTTTGTTTCTTGTTCTTGTATTATGGTTTGGCGTCACACACCCCCTTCCCCATTGCGAGGAGTGTATAGTTGGTGTGATTCGTGTATGTTGTTCTCCTAGTTTGTTAGTTTTTCTAGTGTCTTAACCAATTATAAACCTACATGTTTTCCGAAAATCGACCCGACCCGCGACCCGCGACCCGGCCGATGCTATCGCTAGGCCCGCCTGTATTAATCAATGTGCGAAGTGCGAGGCCTGGCCAATTGCCAGTCCCCCCTTTTCTCCAGTTGGCTTTGTCTGCACACTGTTTCTGTTTTTTGTGCCGACTTCCGACGTCGGCATTTCCGACATAAGTAAAAATACGAATACGAAAAAGGACGGCAACCTAAATTAGATCTACTTTCAGTTTCGTGCTCAAGCCGCCATTTTGAATTTCGTCGTTGACTGATTGTTCGGATGTGTGAATTCATCTCAAGGCCTAGACTACTCACTTGTTCTTCTTGATCTAGATATAGATCATTATAGACCTCTATGGAGGATTCATATTTCAATTCTATTATTGGTTATGCTGTTAATGTTGGTAATATAGCATTTCATCCGGTGCGTAATTTATTAGACTCAGCTGAATCCCTCTGTTCGGATGCGCATTTCGTTCAAAGCCTATTCCTATTCACTTATTCTACTAGATCTAGATCTAGATTTATTTAGATTACTATATGGAGGATTCATATTCTAATTTTATTGTGTTATTGTATCAGACTTTGCCTATTACCTATCATAGCAATGTAGGCTATTGCGCTTCTTGTTTATATGGGGTGTGGTTTTTTTTATTTTAGACTTTAGCAGCCTTTTTTCCCACATTTCTGAAGGGCCGTTGCAGGTTCTTTTTGGGGGGCGGATACCCCCATCATGTACCCTTAAAAGTGCTTCTATTTTGTGAGGGAGGACTTCCGTAATGAGGGACCACTATAAGACAAAGTAGAATAGAAGGCTACTTTTTTTAAAAGGGTATGGGTAGGGTAGGGTTAAGGTTAGGCTTAGTGTTAGGGTGAGGTCCTTCCTTTTATAATGCCCACAAAAGCTGTTATGGGGGGGTGATTGCGTGGTGTATGCAGAATTTTCTTACAATCTGGTTTGGATGAGGCTCACATGCAGGTGGCGTTGGCGGCCTAGTGGTTAGGCTCTCGGACTTGCAACCGTAAGGTCGTGGGTTCGAATCCCGTCAGGGGCCCGACGTTGTGTCCTTGGGAAAGGCACTTTGCACAAATTTTCCTCACTTTACCCAGGTGGAAATGGGTACCTGGCTATAAACAGTGAAAGATCTTGTCAGTTTGATAGTGTTTGAGCGCGTGAAATCCGCAGCTTGCACTGTATGCTTCCTCGGAAGCTGAGAATGTTTCTGAGTGTTCTCAGAGGGTCTGCTGGGGTAATAATAGTTGTAAAGCGCATAGAGTATGCTCTTCAGCATGGATATGCGCTATATAAATGCAATTATTATTATTATTACTAGTTCGACTTTGTGTGGAGCCGATCGATTCTCAACCTAGAGCGACGTGGGGCGGTGTTTCTATCGATGAACGCACGACATTGCTGTGCTATACATTTCTATGAGGTCTTGGAATACTGACAGATTAGATCTGAAAATGAGCCTATACAGCGAAAGTAGTGTTGTTTTTCTTTCTTTGAGTTTTGAATGGTCGAAATCGACCCAGAACTAGTGCCGGGGGGGGGGGGGGGGTGATTTTAAAAGTAAATATGGCGAAATGTAGGGTGTGATGGAGTTGACACTGGGCAAATTCAAGGAAAGTTTAAAAATACATAAAAATTAAAAGTGAAGTGATCTTGGTTTAATAAAAACACGTTGAAAGTTAATTTCTCGGTCTACCGAAATATTGTAACTTTAAGTCACCAGAGGAGTTGGTTATTTTTTCATTCCACAAAATAGATAGGTAACAAGTGAAAAACTGATAGTCACAACTGTAATGGAAGAAATAAATAACTTGTCCATATTGTACCGCAGCGTTTTGCGCGAAATATCATTTCGTAAAGAAACTTACAAAATGAATTATCTAAAATAATATTTGTATATTTTTAGAATGTTATTTCCCTTTTCCAGGAATTGGGGGCATGCATCAGGGCAAATCTTCAGGAGCTGAATAATCACCAGATAGTTATGTGTGTTTCTGTGATGACTCGCTGAAATTTGCAGTTACTTTTTTATTTTATATTTATAGGCCTACTAAGTGGATGGTGGAGATGTGGTTTACCATTTATTTTTTATTTACTTATCTAGTTGGGTTAATGATTGTTCGAGTAATATATTACTACTTTAAACCTGTTTGCTTTTAAAATAAAATAAAGTTAACTCTTTATCTTCAAAGGAGGTAAACCTGCTATGCCGGGTCCCTCTTTTAGTGTGAAATCTAAAAATAACATATATGTCACTAAATTGTTCATTAACCCACTCTAGCTGGCTGCTTCCGTTTCATAAGCCTAGTACCATTACAGCCAAGACCGGCCAGCGCAAGTAGCGTTGTTTCTAGGGAAGTGTATACACTTGGTAACCGTCGTATTTAACCGGCATTTCGACCGATCAGAAAATGGATGATCATTCTCTTCTTGAGAGCAGCAGGGACATAACTCTGGAAATTCTAGTTGGACTAAATTCAATATATGTAAACAAACTGCAGTTTACACAGGTCACGCAAGCTAAGATTGAGTGTTCTTCGCAAGCCGCCTGCATGGCGCTCAGACTGATAAGCAAACTTTTGGATAATTTTAATGAAATTATCGGTGCTGGTGGAGAAAACCCACAGAATGGTAGCAATGGAAATGAAAGTGACATTGAAGATGATCTAATTGTGCCTTTGGAGGGTGATTCGGACAATGAGAATGAGGTCAATGAGGAGCATATGACTACGACTTTGACTCAGCTGATTTTATCTTTTATTATGAAATACAGTCAACACAAACAGTAAACAAGTAATTTTTAACTTAAAATTTATTCAGTGAAGAACTTGTTTCAAGATTTTTTTGGATCAATGGACTGGTTATTCTATAATGATTAAAAAAAAAATACCCACTACATCACAAACAAGGATATATTCCCCTTTGTGTGGTCCTAAGCCATCTTCCTACTGGAAATCCAGTGGTGCTGAGACAAAACAAATGAGCATATTTTGATAGTTCTTCATCTAATGAAAGAACTCCTGGTAAGAGAGACCTGACCGGAAACTAATTTAATGTTGAAGCCATTGTAAAGGAATGTGCCTGACGTATTTTTTGGTTCTAATTTCTCCCTCTACACTGACCTGACCACTGACTGGTCAACAAACTAAATGTGGTTATCTCTAAAAGTAATTCGTTACTGCAGGTGGATGATTGACTCTCGAGATGACTTTGCAGAGGAGCGCATGGCGATGATGGAGGATGGCTACAGTGTGTACCGCTGTCACACCATCATGAACTGCACAAAGACTTGCCCTAAGGTCAGTTGGGAGTTTGTAAATTGTTATAAGTTGAGGCAGTTCATTACACACCATAGCACATAACTTTCTTGCCTTGACTTTCATTGTCTGTGGGTTCAGTATAACAATATGGAGCTTGAAGCAAAGTAGCCTAAAGGCATTGCATAATTTATTCATGTGAGAAGGGATCTGTCATCTTGCCCCAGGGGTATTGTGATGATGAGATTGGGTTAGGAATTAAGGGGTCATTAACAATTGGTAATTAATTTTTCTTTTCTATCTAGAGATAGAAAGGGGGCTATTCTGACGTATGGTTTTAAACAGAAAAAATTGTGGTCACTTTATTGTTGCATTAACTGGCTTGAAGTACAGATGTTTCAACCCCCCGGGGTGGTGCCACTGACTGAAGTGTCTTTAGACCATTCCCAAAAAGGGGGACATTTCTCATTTTAGTGCACAGTAGAATTGTAAATGGGCTTATCTAACAATGTCATGCTCATAACTGTGCCTGAACTACAACAGGGAACTGCTGCTTTTCCATTCCTAATCCTTACTATCGTCATTTTCCTCGACTTCTTTTGTATGTTTGTTACACTCTTGTGACCCGCTATTTCCGGGGTGCCTTGATAGTCGAAGCAGACTTTGTGCTGTTGAAGCTAGAGAGGTGAGCAGAGTAAGTCTGATTCCCTGTAAGGACTTTTCTGTTGACATCCACCCCTTGGCACTCATATAAACTTATGCATTTGCGAGCGCCGTAAAACCTCTACTAAAACTAAACTAAACAGATTTTTCCCTTTGAAAATAAGGTAGGTTTTAACCTTGAATATTTTAAATTCTTACTTCCATGCTATCTCCATTTTTCGTGATGTTTTCTTGTGGTGTAAAATATTTCACATTTTTCAAAATGTTTGCCTTGTTTGTATGCAGGGTTTGAATCCAGGCCGAGCCATCGGAGAGATTAAGAAGATGATGATGACTTACAACAAGCAGAAGGCTGCCCATTGACGTTCTTCGTCCTTGCTGGGAGGTAGACTACCCAAGCAGTGGGGGGCAGGCTAATGGGCTGAGGGCGCTGTGTCACTTTGTCGCTTATGTACATATGCTTACTGGAGATGGGCTTTCATTGGATGGGGCTATGATGATTCGTGTTGAGGCGCAGATGACAAGTTTTCCAACCGACACTAGGGTGGAGAATTTTCTGGAAGTTAGAGGAGCATTTTTATATGTCAAGTTAATTCTGTAAAGGACACAGTTACAATCAGCAACTTTTGTATTTAGCCCTGTTTGTTTGGTTAAGAAGATCTTCACCATTCTCAATGTTGGGTTGAGAAATTGTGTTTTTTTACAACAAAAAAATCTTGAAATGTGAAATGTTACCCTTGAGTAGGAGAGAAAAAGGCTGTGTAGGATAACGTTCCCACTTGTTTGTGGAAGAAAGGTGAAGCGCAGACTATATGTGTGGAGAGATCCATGTGTTTGATACCACTAAATAGTCATTACCAAATATTTTGAAATATGTATATCACTTTCGTATCTGACATTTGTCGGAGAAGCTGTCTTTACCACACAGGATAGCAAGAATGTCTTATTAACACATTACACCCTAAGGGTCTGGACGGGAAGTCCATTCCTAGATCCTAAGCAAGAGGAAGGAACCCACCTTCTGTGAATACAAGTGTTTAAAAGACACATTTTAAAAATACGAAACAGATTCCAAAAATCTTGAAAAAATATAATGTAGAAAGAGAATTGAATGTTGTTTCAGAAAAATACAACTTTATGTATGCGGAAATTGTTGGAAATGTTTTAACTTTAGTTCAGTCAGAGTGGTCCGACCTGTCACTGTCACTTTCTGTCTCGCGGTCGGGCCCTAGATGTAAATTCGACATCTGATAAATCTGAATCGCCCCAAACTCTTGCTTCAACGTTTTCATCAATATCTGGTTTATCATATGCTTGTTTTTGCTCAAATCCATCGTTATTTCCTTTTTCAAACTCAGTCATGTTGCTTTTCAACAAGTTGAGACACCTCGAAGTGTCAGAAATGCGATCGCACTTCGATCGGCTCTAATTCTAAAACTACTGGCCCAGAAAATTTCGTTTCATTATTAAACAGAAGAAGAAACAATTTGTAATAACTATGTAAATCAAAATCTCGGCCCCAGAGACTTCGTTTTTAAAGACCTTAGGCTGTTTCGGGTGTAAGGAAATTTTCGGGTGATCCCAGGCGAGTTAGGGTGTAATGTGTTATTTAAATACCCAACAGTTTGGATTTGTACATTTTCTGCAGCATTCTTTTTCCAAATAGTCTCTTATGTCTAGTTGTGCAATCTCACCAGTACCTATAAATGAGAGAGAAAATCAGAGCCTTGTGTTTGTCTTGTTTTCTTCAGTCATTTAGAATACAGTAGTCTCCACCAAAGGTCCCACTGCACACGATCCAGGTTTGCTTAAGATTCCGCTGTTTTGAGAAAACAGAATTTTTACAACACAAAGGTCACCTCTAAGATCCGTCCCTGAAGGGCTACATTCGGCTAAGACCTCCCCATTTCAGATTATAATGCTGTCCCCGTTGTTTTATGCAAGAAAAATTCTAAAATTATGCAAACTAAGCCCAATGATGTGAAATTATGTGATTCTGTTAATTTTTTCAAAGAATGATGAAGGAAAATCATCAGAAATTATGCGAAAAATGATCAAATTTTGCTAAATTATGCGGGGTGCATAAAACCACGGGGACAGAATGTACGGAGCAAAAACCTGGGTAGGCGTAGCTGATCAACCAAGCAGTGAAAATTTGTGATCATTGAACTGCCCATCGCATCACAGGTCAGCATGTGTTCACATGTAGGTTGTAACTCTGGAAATGTTACATGGTTTACCCCAGACATGATCACACTGAGGTGTAAACTTGCCAATGCATTGGCTTTCCCGAAACGTCGCACTCACGTCTGAGAGCTCTCCACCTGAGCTGGTTGGGTAGGGCCTACAAGTCCGCATAAGATGGGATCACATTGAACTGTGAACTCTTCCCTGACCTTTGCAACAATGGTCTCTACTCCGAAATTTATTGCCAGACAGACCGAATTTTAATTGGTGCGGTCACAACACAATGAATGGTGTATTAGGAAAGAGGCGGAGGAACTCGGTCAGAGATGGAAAGCTATAGATGTTGGACCCCCCAAATAGACCCACCTCTTCGTGGTGGGGGGGGGGGGGGGATTAGTACTCTTCGAAAGGAAAAGAAAAAGAGGAAGCTAACGGGTCAAGGGGTGACCCCGAAAAGAGACATATTACTTTACTATGTTTCTTACTCTTTCTATTTATTGTTTTTATTGTTTTACTTTAATACATTTATTAACTTTTCTTTTCTCTTCTCTCCATCGACAACCTTTCTCTGACCTGGAGTTGGGACGGGTATTGGTGGGGTGGAAAGCAGAGGTTCATTGTCAGCACTGTACTGGATGTGACTTTACGTAGGGAATACCCAGCTACATACATGTATTAAGCATGCTCTTATCGGAGAGCCCTATGACTGCGGAGAAGGTGCAGAGACCATTTGCGTCTTGCTTGTTGACAACATTAAAACCCTCTGGGATCTACCATGCCTTTCCCTGCCCCCATCTCTCGGATGAGAGGACTTGGTTGCTCTGGGAGGAGGGGGGGGGGGGGAAATCTAGCTTCCAATTGGTATTATTATTACTATTAGTATTATTATTATTATATTATAATTTTTGTATTTCAGCAACACACAGCAACTATGTGCTCTTAATAGCGCCTTTCTCTTCTTTATCTCCTCAAACTATATAAACTCCTCAATATAATACAACAGACACCAACATACCCATTCATCTTTCTTACAATCTCACTGTGATGGAGTTGGGTTTTTGTTTGTGGCATTGCACCTACAGCCACTGCTTTATCGCCTACCCCGAGATGGAAGGAAAATCACAGAACCACCAGTTTTAGATGCTATTCACTAATGATAGAATCCCATAAGAGCTGAGACGCCGCCTCGGTAATCAAGGTCTCCCCCAGGTCTTAGTGGGCAACCAAGCTGGCCTGGTGGATGGTTATTGGAAGAAAAAGAAAATCAGAAAGCAGAGAAAGTGAAAAAACAAGAAGAAAACACCCCCTACAACAGGTAACGGAAAAGACAAGCTTATACTTACTTACTTTTACTTTTTCATCCTCTGTTGCCATTAAGCGTCGAGTGGAGATGCAGTTTTCTGTGGTAGGCCAGCTCCGCAGCTCTTTCAGTTGTGATGTTATGTTTTCTTAGGGTTTCCTTGACACCCTCGATCCACCTTTTGCGTGGCCTTCCTCTTCCTTTATAGCCTGAGTGCTTGGTGTTGTAGGCTCTCAAGGCTGGCTGGTCAGGTGACATGCGTAACAGGTGAGCAAACCATTTTATCCTCTGTCTTTCTATGTAACGCAGGCAGGACTCAGTGCCGATAGCTGCTCTTATTTCTTCATTTCTCTGCCTGTCTCGTCTTTTGATGTTAAGGGTTTTGCGGAGACATTTCATTTCGCATGCGGTGATTTTGCTTTCATGGGTTTTGCTTCAGGTCCAGGTCTGGCACTGATAACATAATGTTGGTATGAATATTGAGGTGATAAGCTGTCTATTTGTGTCCATGGAGATGTTTGGATGAGATAGAAGAAGGGGTGCGAGCTGGTAGGTGACAGCGTTGGCTTTTTGAGTTCGCATTTCTATTTCTCTGTCTATGGACCCGTTTTCAGAAAAAGTGCTGCCAAGATATTTAAACTCTTTCACCTGTTTCAGTTGTTTACTATTGACATGGATGTTCAGGGGACTATGGTTTCGGCTCTCTTTCATAACTTCTGTTTTTGATGTGCTTATTTTCATGTTGAATTTCTCACAGGTGTTGTTGAGTTCGGAAGTGTGATTTTGGAGGCTTTGTTGGTCATGATGAATTAGACATTGATCGTCTGTGAACAGAAATTCATTTAGGCTTTCTGGGCTTTGGTTTGCTTCTTGCGTTATTGTGTCCATACATATTATAAACAGGAGGGGAGATAGAATGCATCCCTGTCGTACTCCAGATCTTACTTTGAACCAGTCTGTATTTCCTTCCTTCGTTCTTACTGAGCTTCTGCTGTTGGTATATAGAGCTCTGACATTATCTAACAATTGTCCTCTGACGCCATACTTTTCGAGTGTCTTCCAGAGTTTTGCATGGTTTACTCTGTCAAAAGCCTTCTCTTGGTCAATAAAGACGATGTTGGATTCTTTGTTGTGTTCTATTGTTTTCTCGCATATCTGCCGTAATACTTCAATATTCTTCAGGCAAATGTCTGTGGCTTGGACAAGAAGAAAACACAATTGGGGAAAATTTTGTATGAAAGGAAAGTCCACATTGCTCTATTACAGGAAACTCTCCATTCATCCTGTGACATAAACATCACTGGGTATACTAGTCTGCTGTGGTTTCAAAATCTCCTAGAGTCCGGTAGAGTCATATTAGTCACTTGAGGAGGATATGGACTCTTATTGGTGAAATGAGCAGGTTTGATGTTCGCTTAAAAGTCTGGAAGTTCTGGGACTGTCTTCACCATGACATCCCTTACTTGCAATTTCCCCAGCTGTTCTCCCTCATTCTCAGAGGCGAGGTGCTGGAACAGCGATAAACTTATACCATGAAAAGATGTCGTTGATGTTTTAGCAGATGGATTGTGGTCTATGTTGTTTGTGGCCGAAGTGGTGAACAGTCCTCTTCGCAGCTCCAGGGGGCAGATGACTCCATTTCTGATGTACTAAAACACAACAGCATCCCCCCCCCCCTGCCCCCAGCTCGGCGGACATCTCCAGCACTCGATCATAGGATACGTTTAATCCATTTGTCTGGAGCATCTGTGCGAGCTTCTTCGTCCTGGTCTTTGCAAACACTGACAGACCAATGTAGGCGGGGAATGGAGTCTCTCGATCCTTTGAGTGTCTGTGGTTAGTGGCACCTTCTTTAAATCTATCATAGAAGTTTAAAATCACTTCAATTATTATATGTTACTTAAAAACATATTAAGGTGGTGATTATCGTGTAAGCATATGCAAATTTGGATTCTTCAAGGTTGATTACATATATTTTGACACCAAAATCATATAATTTGCTCTACTGCCTCATGCTGTGCGACATTATAGTATAGGGTTGCGCATACTGGCAATGGCGGCCATCTTGAAAAATGGGGGCCATTTTGAAAAAAATTGCGTGGTAAACGTTCGATTTATGAATATACATGTCATAATGGATATGTGTGCCAATTTTGGTGCTTGTATGACGATGTGAATGATTCGGCCGATTTTTGCAATTAGCTGCCCCACTATACCCCTTATCCATGTAAATGTGAAGGTTGCCAAGGGATTATAACCTATATCAGAAATGACATCCAGGGTGAAGAAGAGCTCCTTAATTGGCACCCCACAGACGCACGTAAAGTCACCCTGTGGTATGGCAACAGCAAGCTCATACTTAATAACATCTATTGTCCCCCAAGTAACACTCTGAACTTCTTGGAACAGAGCACTATCTTTAAGAAGACGGTCATAGCTGGTGACCTTAATGGACACTCCCCCCTTTGGGGCTATGCTTACCAAAACAACACAGGTAAGAGGATTGAAGAACTATGTCTGTCCTCTAACCTCATCCTTCTTCAAGATGAGGACTCGACCAAAACACTTCTTCATAGGAGACATGGGACCCTCCACAGACCAGATCTCACCCTGGTCTCTGCTGATTTACACAACAATTGCAGTGAAGAGGTGCTAGACTGTATATCTAGTGACCATCGTCCCGTTCTCATCAAAATCAGTATACTGAAACACAGACAAAGGAAAAGAAAAACCCGTTGGAACTTCAAGAAGGCAAACTGGGATCTCTTCAGAAAAACAGCTGAGGACACCGTTAAACTGGATGATCTAGACAATAAAAGTATAGACGCCCTTAATAGTGAACTCACCTCCACCATCTTAGATGCTGCAAAGAAGAGTATCCCACAGGGGTGCAGAACTAACTATAAACCCTTTTGGAATGAGCGCTTGGAGAAAGCTACAAAAACTAAAAATGATGCCAGACATGAATATATGAGAAATATCTAAAAAAATATGGACAAGAAAAAATTAGATACAAAAAGGCCGTAGCAGAGGCTAAACTTGTCACCAAGGAATCTAAGAAGGAAGCCTGGACGCAGAAGTGTGGGGGACTCAATTTACATCAAGGTGGACGTGAAGCTTGGTCACTTCTAAATAACCTCACTGGCGAAAAAAGGAAAGAAAACCCCAAACCACTACACACAGGAACCGGAATTCTCACCAGCGAGTTAAAAAAAAAGCCGAACACTTCAATAAATA